GCTGCTGAAATCAGATGTGTTGGGTTCTAAAATGGAGTTTTTAATGAATCTTCTTTAGTAATGAAGTGTTTTAGAGCTGAGTTTGTACAAGATTCCTTCAAGCTTATATTGATGTAAAGGTTGTCTTCACTGAACCCTTTGTCTAAAACAGATGATTTTAATGTTGGTGTCCTTTTGAGTTGTGCCCTAGCCTCTTTAAGTTCTTGCCTGATCTGAATAGAGGCTTTAAGTTCTTCACAGTTCTTCTTGATATGCTCCTCTTTTTCACAATAAAAACAGACCTTGGGGGCTTCTTTCCAGTCTATAGTTACCTTGTAGTCATTGATATGAGTACTTCTAGGGAGTCTAGTAGCAAGCTCAAAGTCTTTTGTTATTTCAAATATAACTAGCCACTGGTCTGAGCAGACTGTGGTTTCTTCATAGAAGAGAGGTTTAATAGAGACAACTTGTTCCACCTCCTTAAAGGCCTTCAGAATAAGGTTTCCAATTGATTTTGAGTCTCCTAATAGAGTTCCGCGAAGTTTGATTGTAAGGAAAAATCATCTGATATTGACTGATATATACCCAAAGAGGGTTTGTTTAAATAATGAAATGCCTTCAGAGGCATATTGTTGAAGTTTTTCTTTGTTCTTTAAGATAACTTCCAAGGATGTTCTTTTTCCTCTTGTTGTGTAAACTTTTGCTGTGATTAGGTCTTCTCCCATTTTGGCAGCAAGAGCAGCAATGATATCATTGATGTTAATGTTGATTAGGCTTTGTATGTCTAAAATAAGTGCATTATCATTTTTGGTATGAATTCTATGTCTTGTAGTTGATTTGGAAAAAACTGCTTTTCCTCTCTTAAGTTTAGGGAACAGGTTGGACCATTGTAATGGCTTATTAGAGCCTGCTGAGCTATTTTTTGCTAATGGCATTGGCCCAGGGGGCAGGATCTTAGTCATGGTGGTCTGGGGCAATGGATCAGTACCCTGATTGTTGTCCCCTGATTGACTGTTTTGGTTAGACACGTGTTCATCAGCTGTATTATTGTTGTTTTGACATGTATTGTTTGTTTCTTTAGTTGTTGTGGAGCGAGCTTTTGTTTGTTCTGAGAGGATATCTTCCCATATTCACTGCCTTGTAGTTCTTTTTCTGTAATGTTGGCCCAGTTAAAAGAAGTGTTGTCAGTAGAACAACTTGTCTGAGTGTTCATATCTTGGTTCACTTTAGCACTGTTAAATGTCTCTAAAAATTTTGTTGTCTTTGCATCGTCTTCAGTTTCTGGCAAAAGCACAAAAGTTTTTTTTTCAGACTTGATAACTTAGCTTTCTTTTGTTGTGGCTTGCCTATATTTAACAAGCCAAGCTTTCTTTTTTGAGAAGTAAGGGCTCTTGCCCTATAGTCTTTAGAGTTTATAAAAAGAGTTACATTGTTTTTTTGTAAAATTTTGTATTTTTGCTATTTTCCAGTAGTGAACTGGAAAGAGTTTTTTTAGTAAATGAGTATACAATAATGCTTTGAGCTTCTTCAATTATTTCTACTCTAAGTAATAGGTTGTTCCAACTGTTTTTGTCAAATCTCCACTGTTTGGTCTTAGTGAAAGTAGATGCTAAATGGAGCTCACATTCTACCTGCAGATGGTTTGACTTTCCAAATTAAGTTGTAACATATTTGCAGCAATAATTGTGATTAGCATCAATAAAGATATAATCAAGTCTTGTGGCTATTTTATGACCACCTCTTGTGTTTTGGTAGTAGTAACAAAGAGTTCTTCTCTTTGTATTAGGCTTGCTGTATTTATAAGTTCTGTGGTAAGAATTTTGAGCATTTTTCTTGTAGGATTGCTAGTAAAAGATGAGCAGCTAATTCTATTAATTTGAGGATCAAGATTTGTGTTAAAATCTTCTGCTAAAATGTTTATAAAACTTTTGTCTATTTGAGAAGCCCAGTTGTTAAAGAAATTAGTTCTATTTTCAAAATTTGGAGGTGCATAAACATTGATAATCTTGAATAACTGTTGTTTGTAAACTAGTTCTGCAGCAATAACTTGCTTACTATGTAAGTTCTTAATGTTTGTAAGTATAATATTCTTGTTACCTGCTAGTATTGCAGTTTTCAATGTTCAATGTAAGCAATGGCCCTATTGTTGTTGCAAAAATTTTCTAGTATTTGGATTTTCTAAATTTGTTTCTTGAAGCATTATTATATTTAAGTGATAGGATTTTAGTAAAGTTAAAGTTTTGTGTGCTTTGTTCATATTATTTAAACCTTTGACATTTAGTATTGCAATTTTGATTTTTTTAATTATAATAAATGGATTGGTAATATAGATAAAGGATAGCTTAGTAAGGGTTCCTTCTGATTCTCGGGTTATTTTTGGGTTTGTTATCATTGTCTTGTGGGTTTATAAGTTTTGGATGACTCTTGGATTTTTTCTTTAAAGAGACCAAAGTAAAGCTGTCTCTGATTTTGAATGCTTGATTCAAATTATTATTATATGGGGCCACCAGGAGGTCTGATAATGAATTCAAGTTGGAAATAGAGTCATTTCTTTCTACAAAAGCAATTCCCAACTCTTGCATTTCATTTAGTTGATTTTGGTCCTTTGCTTCTACTGTTTCAGCTCATAACAGCTCTAATTCAATTTTTTCTTTCATTTTTAGATCAGTTGGACTAATATTCTTTTTAAGTTCATCTATGCTCATGTTGCATTCATCTCTCGGGTTGTATGGATTTTCTGGGCTTAATGTCAGAGGCTCTTTCTTTTGTTGAAGTAGTTATTCCTTTTCTAGTTTCTTTGCATTTTGTGATTCTTATGAAGGTTTCTAATTTCTACTAATGTTTTATATTCTGAATATTCCTTTTTGATATGCCCTGTTCTATTACAAAAGTAGCAGAGTTTTGGAGCTTCTCTGCAGTCTGTTGTTACTTTGTAGTTCCAAACATATTTAAATCTTGGAATTCTATTTGCAAGATCTGAGTTGTCTGTTGTCTTGAAGATTATCATTTATTGGTCTGAGAGAACTAAAGTGCCTTTATAAACCAGTAGCTTAATGGAAGATATAGTACTTATATCTTGAAAGGCCTTTTTAATGCATTCTAAAATAAAGTCTTTCTTACCCATTGGGATATTATGAAGCCTAACTGACAAAAAATTACATCTGATATTAATTGGAATAAATCCTTGAATAGTTTGTTTAAAGATTGTTAGGCTCTCAGTTGCATAGTACTGTTGTTGTTCTTCATTTGAGAAAACTAATTCTAGATGAGTTTTTTTGTTCTTGATGATTATTGGTTTAACAGTAATTAGGTCTTCATCTATTTTATTTTGCATTGCCTCTACTATGTCTGTAGTAGAAATATTTTCTAAGCTATGAATTTTGAAAATTAGAGCATTTTTATTTTTGGTCTTTAGCCTCTTTTTAGTGAATAAGTTGAGTAAGTTGCCTTTCTTCTTTTAAGTTTTGCAAAAAGATTTAACCACTATCTAGATTTTGCAGGCAGATCCTTCAAGGTTGATTGGTTACTAGTATGCTCTGTCTCATAATCAATAGCATGTTCCATCTCATGATTCATGTTAGCCACATGATTCATGTTAGCCATGTGCTTTATTTGTTTTGTTTGATGTTCTAATACATAACTGACTGTGGCCATAAGTTCTATCTGTTTTGCCATATTTTGATGTATCTTGTTGGATAAAGTAGACAGAGTGATTTCTTCTTGTACTACTTTTGCCTTTTCTTTGATATCATAATTTGTATTTGTGTCTTTAACTATTTGTTCACTGTTAAGATTTCTATGCTCTGTTTTGTTGTTAATGCTCTCAGTGCTATTGTGAAAAACCTTTAAAACTTCTATGTTTTCTTTGTTGTTTGCTTTTGCATTGCCAGATATGACAGATTCTGCATTTGAAGTTCTTGCTTTTTTGACCTTCCTATTTTGATTACTAACTAGAATACTTGGCTAAGCAAGCTTGGAATATTGCTTAGTGCTGCTTTGTGTTTTTTTCTTTCTTTTAACACCTCTGAGTCAAATTTTTCTAGTGTAATTCTGCATATTGTTCCTTTTTTAAAATGTACTGACCAACTTGTTATAAGTGAGTCTAATCTCTTCTAATTCTATCCAGTAATCTGAACTACTGCTGCTTTGGTTTTTTTTAAGCATTTTCCATTTGAGAATTCTTGCTTTCTCATAAAAGCTTAAACATCTTGTAACTCTTTCATATTTTGTGTCTTTTAGTAAGTCTTATAATGTTAGTATTACTGATAAACTCTTTTTTTGTTCAACTTATTCTTTTTGTTCTTGTTTCTGTTTTGATGCTTTATTTAGAATGAAATGCTTTGACTTGCTTTTATTAATCCATATAGACTCATTTATATTTTTTAGTGCCTATCTTGATGCATGTATATTTTCTTGGATTCTACCTTCTGTTCTTTTTTTTTTATTGATGACTCTTTTCTTGTGCTACTTTTGTATCTTAAAAGCATGTGTCTCTTTGACTCTTCTGTTCCTAGATCATGTATACTACATTCTGTCATCAACAATGCTATTTTATCTTATATTTTTGCCTCTTTTTCTGAATTTTTGAGAATTTCTTTTTCTGTTTCATTCAAAAGCACCTCTGCAAAAAAAAAAAAATTCTTTCTCTCTCTCCACTCCGATTTTTGGTGGAGGGCAAAATAACATATACAACAATAAACAAGCGATTAAACTTTAGAAAAAACTATACCACAAGAGCTAAAACTCTTGTGCCGAAGAAAAGAAAACAAGTCTGTATAGTTATGTCTGGCTCTTTAACAGGCAGAACAGAAAGAAACAAAAAAATCAGAGTCTCCTTCTTCGAAGAAGGAAACCAAAACCAAGAAGCAGAGCTGCCAAATAAGGCTGGGAGTTTGGAAAAATCCGTCCTAGGTACCTCAGCAAATGCAAACAAAACAGTAGGTTTTAATGAAAACTATGTTGGTAAGGAACCTCTGACCAAAAGTCAAGACCAAGAGAAAACTGAAGAAAAAGTAAAAGACATGACTGTTTGTGAAGAAACACGTCAGGAACTGCCAGAACAACCAAAACAAACAGAACACGTGTTACAAAATAGTCACGTGGAATATGATAACAACAGAACACAGGACACAAGTCATGTGACTAAGGAAGCAGGTTCCCAACCGAGACCAAGGCAATGGTCAGAATTGTTCTCCAAATTAGAAAAGGGAAGGGCAACATACTCCACCTACTCACCAAGAAAAAGAATTAATACAAAGAATGAGAATGCGTTGATTTTTGAGGTACATAATCTGGAAAATATTTCAACAACTGACATCGTAGAAGCAATGGCACAAAAGTTTGGGGATGACATAATTGCGGTTAAACCAATTATTTCCAAGGGAAAAAGAACACATTTGGAGGTAGTTTTTGTAAATGAGGAAAAGCAACAGCTATATTCTGTAGAAGGTCTTGCTATCTTCAAACAAAACCTTCAGGGGTACATCTCAATCAATATTAGATGTAGCTTCCTTTCAGTTAGGCTTCGAAATGCTCCTATGGGCAAGAAAGATTTTGTTTCAGATCAAATTAAAATGGCATTCCAAGATGTGGGTCCAATTGCATCTATCAAACCACTGGTATATAAGGGAACTTCAATATTATCAGACCAATGGGTAGTAATTTTCGAAACAACAGATGATCCTGAACTAGCAAAAAGAATTCCTAGGTATACACATGTTTGGGATCACCCTGAATACCAAGCATCTGTTGAACTTAGAAACTTGCAAAAGGCAAGAAGGGAACAAAGATTACAAGAGAAAAAACGTATGAATTATCAAGAAGAAACCATAACAGAATTCAGCACAGAAAATCCTTATACTAAAGAACTTAGTCTAGGAATGAACCTTGATGATGAGAAAGCAGAGCAACCAAATACAGAAATTGAAGCTAATGGTAGCTCCCCAAATAACGAAGAAATGGAACAACCAAGAACAGAAACTGAAATGAATAATAGTGCAAAAAGCACTCAATTCATGCTTTCAGAAGAAACAATACAAAAGGAAGCTGCATTAAATACACAAGAAATATGGCAAGAAAATGGTCTTCATGA